CTACATATGTGTAACATTTTTTTTATATTGACGCTCAATTGTTTTAAAGTAGGGGTGCTATCTTTCCAGACTTTACAGTATCATTATAAGAAGTAAAATAAAGACAAAATAAAAGGATAAATAATTATAGTGGAGATTAAATTACTAGCACTAGAACCCAATTTTGATTAAATAATATCGTTAGTAATATTGTAATTAATGAAATTTTTATATACATTTGTTAAATCAACATTTAGAGCCCATGCAGCAGTAAAAATTGAACTAAATTCACCTTCAGTTAACTTTGTTTATATCTTCAAATTGCTCAAAAGGTATCCATTCTAAAATATATCCTGGCAGGGATGATTTCATTTGACATTGTTGAATAAAAAGATCAATTATGTTATTTCCAGATGTCAAAGCAGTGCTCTGCAATTGTAAACTAATGCAACTTTCACAGTATCTATCAGAGTATCTTGTCGATTTGCACTTGTTACATTCTTTTGGTTTGCACCATTTATAAATTGCTTTTTTTTAATTCAAACTCATGAGTAAACAGTTCCTTGCAATATTCTTTTTCATTTTGAGAAGGCTTCTTGTTTTTTTTGACAAATGAAAAAAAATAATCTTTTCCACTTTCTATATTAGAACTAACCCAAGCATTATCATCCATACCATGATGAATTATATATACAAATTCCCTTCTTTCTGGTGATAATGATGATAATAGTTTAGCATATGACATTATATAAAATATAAAATATAAAATTGGCTTGGTGATTTTAATGAATAGAATGAAGATTTCTTTTTTGAATGGAGTATAACAAAATTTTTTTCAAATTTGTCATTTGAATGCAAAATTTCCGATTGGCTAATTTAAGTTTCACGTCCGTGTATAAATTTCAAATCATTTAATGGGTTTTTTAAATTTTTCTCATAAGAAAAATGAAAATCGCATTATTTAAAGAACAACTTCATCATCACCAAACTCTAATGATTTATTTATCGTGACTCGACAATAAAAGAATTTCGGCATTCTTATCAAAATTAAAACTTACAAAATCTGTACCAAAACCTGTTCTACGTAGTAACATTGATCAGCCTATGTTGTTTCAAAGTCATATACTAAAGACAGCTCAATCACATTTTTGTTCTATTAATAATATTATTGTGTATTGCTATTACGTTAGCTTCAAAGTCAAAATTCGAAAAAAAAAATCAAGTTCATGTGCATGTAAAAGTTGCTCTACATATTAATGCTGACCGCATTTGTATGTTTCAGACTCAGACACTATATAAAAACAATTCAAACACGATTTGATTTTTTTTTCATCCTATGAATATAAGTGATATTTTTTAATTTGTAAAGGAGAAGATGCATTTTTATTTTGAAAAGAAAATATATGGAGAATTTTTTTAATTAGTTCAACGGGTTGCTTAACAATTTAGAATGTCCGATATTTAATGCCCATCGCAGTTGGATGTTGAATTAAATAATTTTATTCCATAAAACTAATCAAGATATAAATTAAAATGTCAAGTATATATACAGTCTAATCCTCGAAAGTCGTAAAAACCGATTTGTCATATATATGACACTAAAATCATACCTACTGGCCTAATTATCTGAAGATAATAGCAGACCCAAAGTTGTAATCTACTAGTTTATCAAATCGAATCACTAAACAATCCTTCTTTTCCGAATAATTAAATTTATTATTATCCTTGTATTTTTTTCCCTTGTCTAATTTTCAAAAATGTAACTCGTTGCATGAACATACCTAGATACATGTCTTGTTCTCCCGTTGCAGTTACTTTCTTTACATTTGTCAGTTACACTATCTATGACCCTCTTTACGTTCGTTACGACTAACATAATAATAATAGTAATAGTAAATAGTTTCTATACAAATTAATCAAATAAATTTAAAACATAACATTTTGTAAAATTCCACGTGATAATTATCCTTTATGCATCATTTCAATATACGTACGATGATATTAAATCTTTATTTATCCCCGCAACACGCATTTTTATAATTTGGAAATTTTGATGATCCTATATTTCTGTCATGGTGTTCTTGATATGTCAATATTTGAAGTTTTAAAATTATCACCAATAGAAGAAAAAGGAAGAGGAAGTGAAGGGAGAAAGTAAATAATTTTGAATTGAATTATTGTATTTTTTATAAAATTTCATTATAATTACTATTATTGATATTTACTTTTATTTTCTTGACTTTCGATAATATTGTAGTTATGATTATATCATAAATTTTCTTCTGATCCTGCCTAAATTTACTAGGTTCATGTCTTTCGAGATAACATCTCTATAACTATGAATTCTTTTCTAAAGAGACTGTTGGTTTTGCTGCTGAGTTTAGTAATTAACAATATATTAAAAAGTGATAGTTGAATTCAATCCATTGATATTCGGTCAACCAATTCATATCCAGTGATGTTTATGTGTGGTACTTATTTATATAAAAGTAGTATTTTTTAATTTTTTAATGTATTTATGAAAGGAAAATAATTTGTAATCACGTAGATAGAGAATTCAAAATAACGCCATCTTTATATCTTTGTCATAAAAATTAGAAATTTGTTCAATTGCTTGCTATTTATAGCAATCAGACGAAATTCTGTCTAAATCATTGACAATGTTGCCGAGTACATTGTGATGAGTATTGAGAACATTGTTTTCTGCGGTTTGAAAGTAAAATTCTACTGAACATTACAATAATAAGAATTGATGGTATGTCACATTTCTGAGAAGAATATGCATTTTAATATTACAATCACCAGTTGTAAACGTTCAGTGATTTTCTTTAGTAGATTCTTTGTTTCAACCATTGCCAGGAGATCTTAAATTATTGTTGTTGTTGTTACAGTCATTTTTATAGCTAATCTGGGCCATTATTCAAAAAAACAATATTCTATATGATGTTTGGTGAAATAAGTTGTAAAACTATCACGTCAAATTCAATGCCATTGAGTCAAGAATGACACAAGTCAAAAACTCTTAACGTAAGCAATATTGTTTTAAAGGCTAATAAAATACGAAATCTCACAAAATAGCATATATTCCCTTCAATTTGGCATCAAAAGCCAATACCTATTATGTAGATTATTGATAAAACACAATGTTTTTATTGATATTGCGACTAAATACTCACAATTGTTTATTTTTTTAGTTATAATATAATGTGATTTAGGGTGCCTATGTTAGTCCAAGTTTATATAGCCATGAAAACTGAAGCTTTAATATATACTAGTCAAGAAGCACTGTTATGTTCATTAGATACTACAGTTCACTTTCTCTGTAATGAACACTTCCATGTTGTCTCTGATTCTTTTTTTTTTTATAATTAAATTTCTCTCTCTATAATAAACACCTTAGCAAACACAAGTACGTTATCGGAAGAATGAACTGTATATATTATTAATATAGAAATCGTGTAACATAAAATTTTATAGAATGTTATTACTTACATCAAGTGGCTTTATTTACATCAAGTGATTCTATTTACTCAAGGGTTTTTCCTTTAGTCAATCGTCAAAATGTTCCTGGTGAGAAACTAACTTTAGTCAATACTTTAGTTACGTCATCAATGACTAATGTCAAAAGTTTCGTCATACATCATTAGTCAGATATATTTATTTTGGTACAGACTCTGCCTTTAATTTGTTGCAGTTTTTAGAAATCATTTACCGTGTATCCCATAAATAAATTTTATATAAAAAAATTAGAATTGATTTTTTTTTCTATTTTAGAATTAATACTGTATTAACAACTTCTTGTGCTTGCTTACTCCCTTGGTATAAAACTCTTTTTGCTCATTGTGAATATCTTCATTAGGCAGTGAAATTTCAAATCGATGGTTAAACAAAAATATCAGAAAAATTGAAATTTATGATTCACATTAATTGGCTTTATTATTTGATCCAGAGATGTAGCAGTTGAAAATCTGGAAAAAACAAAAAAGATATCAGCATGATATCCTTTCATCCCCAACTTGCTAGTAATAAAAATAGTGCTGATTATGGTTTACATAAAGAAGTTATATAAGATCCGTTAAAAAAAAAAAGATTTAATATTGGTTTAGTAGATTTTGCGGCTCGATGATGGTGAAACTGAAAAAAAAATGAAATTGATCAATATTTGTTTAATGAATTGAATTTAGATATTTTAGAATGATGGAAACCCCATCCAAATGAATATCCAAAACTAACAATATCATGTTCCTATTATTTATCAATTCCCGCCTCAAGTACAGTCTGTAAATGGGATTTCAGTGCAGCCGGTTAACAATAAATGAACATTGATTCAAATTTAATCTAGAAACAGTTGATAGCATACTCGTCATATGTAGTGCTCTCAAATAACAATTATACTTTATTTTGTGCATTTAATTAAATAAAAAACCATTTTCTATAATCTGGGTTTGGTTGGTATAATAATAAAATTTTGATACCATGCGAGTATCGGTTTCAATTATTATTACCCACGCAGGCCTCTAGTCAGGAATAGTTGGAAAGCAGTCATTAAAAATAATAATATTAATTTAGTTAATAACTATATATTAATATATATATTGAAATTCACGCGTGTGAACCTAAATTAGCCAATCAAAATTTTGTATCAAACACTCCACCCCCAAAAATTTTTAATTATAAATTTCAAATTCACACGATTCAACAATATCTAAAATTGCATCATTTTCTTTTCCTTTTACTCTTGATCAAAAAAAAATTTAAAATAAATTTTAGATTGCAAAGTTCCACCACTGCAATTGTCACCAATCTCAAGCAACAAAGGATAATCCAAATGTTGAAGACAGAAACCTCAAAAGTCGAAGGTAGTTAAATTGTCTTTGTATTTGTGTGACCAACTGGCCTGAATATTTTTTCTTTTTTCTTGATTTCCAGCTAAGAAGGCCACCATAATCTGGGTCTTGACGATATTTTTTTCCCCGTACAAAGCCTGTGAGAATTGGCACGAGTCTCGCTGCTTTGTCTCCATGAAACTCGCTAAAGAAGCAATGAAAAAAGAAGCAATGAGCCTATACAAAGACTCTGAAATTATCCAAGAAGCTGATAACAAGTATTTTGAAAGAAGCTCGAGGGAAATACACTTTGGAGAAAGCCGAGATGAATCCGATTATAGAAGAGAGTTTGGCTTCTGTAAAATTGACCCTGTCAAACTGGAAGGCGAAGAAAGCGGTGATGACATGCCATTAAATGACAAGACGAGTGTGATTGAAGAATAAAGTAAGGCATGAATGATCATTTTCTAATTGACAGTTTTATGCCACGACTACATTTGTTGATTATATATTGGCTTTCTTTTTAATATAGATACATACAACTGTGCAGTTATCTTGCTTGATTTTCTTTTTTTTTAGTATTTCTAAAAGATTCTTTGTGGATGAGACAGGGAATCTTGGATTTTATACAACAAAGATAAAAACAAAATTCAAAAATGAATCATTAAAATTAAAAATTGTTACTTTGCTTTAAAAACATCATTTTTTTTTAACTATGTTAGGTTTTAAATTGGTATGCTTATTAGTGACGTTATTTTCCTGCATTTAAATGATACATTTCAGAGGTGTTATACATGATTCCAATTATACATCTTCTTTACCTCCATTTTATCATTACTTGACAACATTGCCATCTTGTTAAAAATAGTTCCAAACATAACTCCTTTTTTACTTCACGTAATTTATTCATGCCTTTGGTCTGGAAATATTATATTGATATATTATTGAGAACTAATTTACTTAAATTATTATATGATTAAGTTTTATGTAAGACTATGAGACAAGAACTATTATCACTTTGAATTTTATATACAGAAAAGAAAATAACAAAATTTTTTTTTTATAATTAATCAGTCAACTAAATTTGAAGACATTAATCTGAAAAGACAGACAAGTAACAGGTTATGTAAACCACAAATATTACAACGTGGATCAAAGATTGATTATTTAATCATCTTGTTGACAGATTATGATACAATATGTGGAAAAACAGAGTTGTAACATTTACAAGGTCCAAACAACAACAATCATAATTATATTTTTTAATTTGACTTAAAAATGACAAGGGTGCAAGACTATTTATTGTCCATCTCTTCAATACAATAATCACCCTTCCTCTTCTTGTCCTTAACCATCTGGTTGCTTCCTTACTTCAAAGTACTCAGCAAAAATGCAAAAATACGAAATTCATAAATGAATATTTTATTTAGAAGATAATGATGTTAATTATTAAAAATTAAATTATATATACTAATCCAATGTTTCAAAATTAAGGAACCCAAAAACCATTTTTAAAGTTCTTTTTTTAGCAGACACATCTTGACACCAAGCCACTATAGAATTTTCTGTAGAGCAAATTTTATTTATACAATAAAATAGATCATTATTGTTACTAAATTAGATCAGATGAACAAGTAACATTGACTCTACAAACGCAAAAAGCATAACAACGAGGTAGTTGTTTGTGTATAAATAAGGTTAAAAATAAAAATCATATGTAGTCTTATTTCATTATGATACGTTTTCAATAAATTGTAAATGAAAACACCTAATACTGTAGATACAAATGGCATGACTTTGAAATCACCTCAAGAATTAGACATTTTTTTATCTTATGGAACATAAAAATAACGTAAGAACATATATCATTCTTTTGCCTCAATTCAGAGTTTCATGTTTGCTCCTATGTTGGAATGTTTATTTGGTTCTAAAAATATAATCTTGAGATAAATTGGCAATGTTTTTATTCACATTCAATAAATTTTCAACAAAAATTTAATTTGTATCCAATGAATAGTCCTAGTGATGTAAATAAGATTAGAAGGAATGATAAAAGAAATGTTAGAATTAGGCTGTAACTAATGCCAGGCATAAAAATAAAATATGCAGTCAAAGATATAGAAGCTTTATTTGTGGAGCAAGCGGAAAAGCAGCTCATAAAGATATCACTAGATCAAAACAAGCTATTCATGCTGTTGCATGACCAGCTTTGTAAGAAATATATCTTGAGGATGATTTGGATAAAATAGGCATACATGTTTGGATTAAAAAGCATCTGGTAAAATAATTTAAAAATAAAAACTTTATTTTTAATATTGAAAGCATATGCCAGCACCAGGCCTATACTTAAATCTAAGTTACTTTCAATCAACTTTCCCTGCCTGGTCTCCTCAATTAAGCTTAAGGTAAATGGTTTTGATTAAATCATTTAGTCATCATTATTTATGATTATAACTGATTTGTATAAAAAAACAAATTAATATAATCATCTTTCAGATTCTCTAGTGATACAACAGCTACATTCACCTTAATGGGTAAACTCCCCAGTCCTCTCAACTCTCCACAACCTCCAATCTTTGGCGGATTAAAATATGAAACATTTAAACCCTTTGAATATTAAAAATTGATTAGATCAATTAAAAATACAGATAGATAATCCAACTAAATCGTCTAATAAAAAGAGAAAATCTATGATTAAAATTGTAATGGGATATCAAGACAATCATTACTATATTAAGGTTATGTGGGTGAGTAGTCATCTGACATTTCCCTTCGATTGATTTTTTATATGTATAAAAGGAACTTTATAGAAGCCTTTGAACTTTGTAAAAGAATCGTCTTATTTATTTATAGAGATAATATTAATAATCTTTATTACAAAATTGGAACCATTAATAGATCAAGTAGTGCAAAGGAAAATCGAAATGGAATCCAATCCAAAATTTGATAAAATAAATAGATATAGGAATATCAGAGACACTGTCCAGATAGCTATTGATAGTGAAGAAAATCGTCTTGATGATCCTATGGATGTTGATTATACTCTTTATAATCTCTCCAGGCAACTTCCAGTGGGTACTCCCAGAAGAATTGTGAATCAAACTAATACTGAATATGAAGAAGTTGATGAAGAATCTGAATATGAGGACAAGGATGATGAATATGAATATGAGGAAGAAACCTATACTACAAATTCTGTAAAAGTCTTGTGTTGAAGATAATACCTAAAAAGAAGATTGTAACTTGGGAAGTCTATGAAGCTACTAGAATATCTCATTACAGCAGTAAAGCAAGGCAAAAATCCATCTCATGCAAACACTTCTTTGAATGAGCAACAGTCCATTGAGAACACTTCTAATAATCAACCAGCTATTGAAAATGTTAGTGAACTTATGGTATTCAATATTCCTAATAAACCAGCTAGTGATGTAGTAACTATAAAGTGCAAAATTAATAAATTAAGTATCCCTAGTGCTGTCCTTGATGGTGAGACAAATTGCTCTATAATGTCATTAAATATTGCTAAAAAATTGGAACATGATAATGATACAAGTAGACCTACTTCTCTTGAAGGTGTAGCTGCTAAATCTGATACTATTGGGTGGGTGTACAATATTCCTGTAAGGGCGCTGACATATATTAACTAATATTTTAGGGGGTGGGGGTATAACAGAAAATCTTAGGTCACACATAATCTCATAAATAACGTGATCATAATAGCTTCAGTGAAAGATCTGCTGCATTTTTATAATTTTGAATGTAAGTGTTTTTAATTTGGGAATGTTCTACATGTAAATCAATTGTCATTACACATTTTTTGTCTACAGGATGATATGGCAATTAATTCTCACATTCTCATATACATAAATGCTATAATTAATAATTCTTTATCTGATATACATTTCCTTAAATATATTTGTCAAAAAGAGGTCACTTTTGTTGTGATTGAGAAGAGAGAAATCCTTGAGCTTTGTTCTTTAGATTTTCCTTTAGCAGGATGCATTGTTTGTAATTTTCAAATAAGTAAGAGTTATTACACTCAGAACCAAATAGGTTGTTTTGTCAAAGAAATAGCCAATGCAAATTATACCCAGGAATTCCAAGAGATCATAATATATTATGAAGGAAATTTTTTTACTCCAATGTTGCTTTTAAAATGTATGATTTATTAATAAAATTAATTCTTTTTTCGCTTGTGCTTTATTTATACCTAAAAAGGCAAATGATTATCATACACGTGATAAAAATGTCTTACCTGGGGGTGGGGGAGTAAGCACTACTATTAAAATGATATTAGCTAATATATGTCAGTGCTCTAATGGTGCCAACCCCTAATTTTGGGAGGAACAATAATAGTATTGATGATAGGAGTTTTTGCCTATCTGTTAGGAAAAAAGAAAAAAAAATTAAGGAATTAATTAACCTGAATTAGGTGGTAAATTATTTTTCTTCTAATTTTCTTTTCTTTCTAGATTCATCATGGTTTTGTGTCAATGTTCTTTTATTAGTTGTGATTTTTCTTACTTGGTAATTTCATAAGTAATCCTTTCTTTTCTTAGATAAGCTTCAAGTGCCTGAGTATCATTTATTTTGAAAATATAAGGAGTGATTTTCTCACCTTGTTCATTCTTCAAAATACTTCTAATGGCACTATAATTCTTGGGTTCCATTGTAGATCTGATGTAAATTAGCTTCATATTATTATTTTTGTATAGGGATAATTCTATATATCACTTAAGATAACAAACAAATGGGATATTATAAAACTGTTAATTATGATCACATTACAAATGACTGGTGATCACAATCATCATATTCATGAATATTCATTAGGGGGGTTACACAACAGGAGGGAACGTCCTATATAAGGAATGGATTTTCACAATTGATTTCAATTTTTTTTATACAGTTTAAAATAC